AACTGTTGGTCCTCAATGGGACCCTTCCCATTCTGTATTTCCCATCTCTCTCTCTCTCTCTCTCTCTCTCTCTCACACACACACACACTCTCACAAATCAGGACCCAAGAACAGTATAACTAATTACAAAATGTGGATTCTATAGTAGATAATTATATATTTATGACATCTATATACACAAGCAGGGCTTAAAAATCTCCAAGCCAAATCAAAATCACCCGTAGCAGGTGGGCAGTTACAGTTTGAGGAATGCCGGAGTCACTCGATTCCCCTGGTTTTTGAAATTATTTTATTTTCTATTGTATCCATACAAGGATCTGACTTGGGAATCACCTGAGTACGATCGGTCTTTCTCGAAATCAGTCCCCTGGGGATTCAGGGTCTGGTTCCCATATTTAAAACCCAGTATGCAACAAATCTAAATCACACATCAATCACTTCAATAAAGTAAGAAGTCTCGAACAATATGTACACCATGTCCTTAACAGTATCACTAATAGAGAAGAGTTGTAACTTAAGATCTTATTTTCCATTGGTTTCCAACAACAAGCAACACAATCAACTGCCAAAGAGTTCTCCATAAGCCCTGCTGAAGAAGGAGAAGAAAGACATATCTGAAATTTTAACTAAAAGGAAGGTCACATTTTCCCCCCATTTTCTGTGACAGGATAATAGAAAATGTAGTATTCACATTAATGTTTCCTAAACAATATATTACCGTTGCCCTATATCATTAAATTCCATAGCAGAGTTTTTATTTTATCTTTTTGATTCATACATGCAAAATATCTTTTGGGAGAAGGAAACCAATATATAGAAACGCAAAGTGGAAGAGGCTCAAATACATTTTCCATGTAGAGAAAACAACTTTCTGAGGGACTAGAAGTCTTCGTCCCAGAATAGCAACTTAAGTCATCACTGATTAGGAGAACTTGGAAGTAGAGCAGAGGCAAAAGTTGAAGTGGCAATTGTTAGCAAACCTTTTTCATACCTTGAATTAATTTTCTTTTTGAATGTAACAAAGAAGACCAGAATTTGTCTTATCAGGTCCGACCTTGTCTCAGCCTAGTATAATTTGGGTGTTCTAGAAGAGGACACTATTAAGTCAAAATTTGATGGATGTTTGCAGTATCCAAATCCGACAGGTCTGAGTAAATGGCACCCATATAATGTCACATGCGTCGGTCTCAGACATATCTAAACTGTCTAATAAAGCACATTCTATTTCTGAAACACGAAGAAATGCCTGTACAATAAGTTAAATAAAAGATAAAAATATTATTAAACATAAACGACGTAAAATGTGAAAAACGGCACTCCTTAATTATGAATAAAAGCATAGGATTCAACCTTAACACATTAAAAAGTGGTAAGATTCAAAACCAACACATGTTTTTCACACAACACGGTCATAACCATTTACTTGCCGTACAACAGTGTGCTTTATTGGGTGAAGACAATATGCGTATAACATATCTAGATGCATTTTTGCCATTACGTGTTTCGAAATGTAATGCAGCAACCGATAGGGGTGTATATGGGTCAGGATGGTCCAAGTTTTACCCACACCTGTCGGAAAAATTTGAGAGGGTTGACTCGGACCTGACCTGGACTTGTTCAGGTACAAGTCAATTGGACCAAGATCCAACCTAATGATATCAGTTCGGGTCCTGGTCGACTATCGAGTCCACTCTTCAAGATCTGGAAGAAACCTGTTGTGCCACGAGAACCTGAACTTGCACACTGGTCGGGACAACACGCCAGCAGAGCCAATCCGATTGCCAACCCTAGAAACCAAGAAGATGTTTCAAGGCAACATAGGGTAAGGGTGGGTTGTTTAGGGATGAAAAAGGCAAGAAGCTCAATTGCTATTTGGTTTCATTGTGTAATACATTGGAGTCTCATGCATGGTTAGATATTTATGGATCTGCTCCATCCATCAAGACATGTTATTTGCACAACAATGCCATAACCATTAAGCCACCACACAAGCGCTTTATTGGGGGAAGATAATGTACATATAATGTTTCTAGCCATGTTTGTGATGTCTTGCATTTTGAAATGCGATGCAACAACCATGAAGACGTTTCTGGGTAACATAATTATGGCTAAGATTTTTAGGGATGAAGAAGGCGGGAAGCACAAATGCAATTCAGGCCCATTGGGTAACATATTGGAAGCTCAAGCATTTCTCACTAGTCCATGGACCTCTGCTCCTTCCATTAAGACATGTCTTTTGCACATGTCATGTACTTTAGGTTTTTGTGGTTTTGTGAATCCTTTCAACATATTTATATGTTTACCAAGAACCGTGTAGTTGCAGTCATCAGAATAGTAAACAGCATTTCTCTTTGTCAACTATCCATCCTTTTTCAAGATACTACTTGAGGTATGCAAGCTAAGCTGAGCAATTTGTCCAAATTATGTGCCTTCCTTGAATATCCGCTGAATGAGCCCTTTTTTTCCAAGTATCCTTTTAGCTGGAAGGCCCAAAAAGGCATGGATGGAAATAGTGAGAAGAGATATGGTGACTTATGGCTTGACTGAAGATATGGCCCTTGATAGAGCCGAATGGAGCAACATGATTCATGTAGCCAACCTAAAATAGTTGGGATAAAGCTCACTCAAATGATGATGATGAAGAAATATCCTTTTAGCTTTGCTAGTCCACATTTTTTATTAGTCCCTTCCTCTCCAAGCGCATCTTTTTAATTCTCTACTCCCTAGAAATTCCCAAAATACTCCATTGAGAAATGTTTTCGCTCTTCAACAAAAGCTGGAATGTAAGGATTAGCTATT